CCTGGCGTAATACTAGGTAACATCTGGGTAAATAGATGTCCACGAGTTCAGAGTATTAGCCGTGTCGGCAATCGGATGTGCAGATGAGAGGGCGCAAGATGGGGAGCGGAGGGGCGAATCGGAGGAGTGGAGGAGAATATAGGGGATGTTATAGGGCTTCGCTTCACGGAGACGAGGTTCCGAGGATTAAGTAGGGGGTTAATGGTGGGGTAATTGCCGGGGCGGAGACTTGGCGTTTGCACATCTTGCTTCGAGAAACGCAAAAATTCTTGAATACTTAGACGGACTACTTAAAGTTCCGTGTATAGTCTCGTTAGTATTTCCTTTTGTGCGGTGAGGTTTGAGGATATCGGACGAATTTGGAGGCCATATCATGGTTGTCTTGGCAAGACCTGTTGTATTTGAGATCTTCACCTCACTTCACTTTACTTCACTTCTTAGCGGGAAGGTTAATTCGAACGAAGACCTGTTCATTTCCAATTCCGATCCAAGTAATAAACTCAGTAGTCCAACAAAGCTCAGATGCAGTAACTGGGATGTACTTAACATAAGGGGGCCTATCTCAGACATCTAGGCGGCGCAATAGTTCGAGCACCTTTGGTGTCTTTGATTCAGCCTTATCATTCGTTAGGATTTCTACTAGACTTTATCGCCATTACCAAATGCGATTTTCAGTCATTACTCCCAGTTTATGGTCGCTAATTCAGAAACACGTGCTATTCCTTCTCTCAATTTGCCCTCTGAGGAGCCTCCAGTGTTAGCCCCAGGTGCTTCGGAAGTGAACGACCAACTTCAGCGTGAAAGAATATGTCGCCTTCGAAAGACAACATTTTGGCTCTTCTTATGTTTGTTCTCTTCAGCATTATTTGCTGCTGTTGGAGGAGCAGTGGCTGCTTCTGTCATCGCTAATGCCAAGTCTATGAAATCTAGCGAATCCCTGCTTTTGTTCTATTCTCAACAACATTCTCGGCCTCGATCTCTGTATCGACCCTGCTTCAGACTGTCACAACACTTATTACATCCACTCTAAAGTCCGCTACTTCTGTACAGACATCTAATCCTGCACTCTCAATAACAACTGGCCCAGGAGGGGTGCAGGTTACGTGTCCAAGTTCTGACAATACAAATTACGTGGTACCAAATACCATTGTTAGGTTCATAGGTCGATGCAATAAAAGTTATTATGGGACAGACTTCACCCGATTTATGACACAAAGTTTGGCAGAGTGTATGGCTCTCTGTGTCAAAAACAATTTTGATCCCAACTCTGCAATGGTTTGCTACGCAGTTACTTGGGTATATGGTGGTCCACAGGGAACATACACTAATTATTGCTGGTTGAAAGATAAAGTTCCGGCTATAACATTTTATAATATGATGCAAAGTGCTATGTTAGTCCCTTCAACATAGCTTGAACTCGGATTTTGTGGGAGTTTAGTGATAAGAATATCTGAGACCTCTACATGAGTCTAATTTTGTGCTTGTGATAGGAGCTGTCAGGGGTTAGGAGGCGCATTGCGGGGTATTGTCAGGTCTTGGCATATATTCAGGGATAAGTGGTTGTACGATGCATTTCTACGAACCATTCCCTGACAGTCTATTTAACCTAGAGATATACACAATTATGTGCGCCGAACTACTGTATCCCCTTACGAGAAACTTGCAAACAGTACTCTCGGAACTGTAGGCATATATTGCAACAGGATTCTATATCGAGCAAGTTAGTAAAAGAATCCCCCAAAAAGAGACTTATCTCTACGCACCTCCGTGCCTCATAATTTTAGCTCTGTCAGATTATTTCATAATTTTTCTCGCAAACTTGACAACAACCAATTATGAAAGATGTCTCAGCTGCTAATTTCTATTTTCCTCCAAACAGCCACGATAGTAACACTGTGGCGCACGTTCTAAAATGCACCCATTCGGTTTTGATTCAGCCCCACCACTAACAATAGTTCCTACTAGACTTCGCCCAAAACAAAAAATTCTACGACACACAGCTGACCATGAATTCAAATGATTTGTTAGAGTTGTCTCAAATGTCTCACATGTTGTAAGACACTGGCAATGCTTAACTTCTACAGCAAGTCTGTCGCAAAATAACCCCTAATCCTTTCTCTCATCACGAAACCTGGCAGAATATTATGGCCTCACAATATCAACAGCCGGGCCTTGAGCCAGTTTCAAATGCTTCTACGGGATATTACTCCCAGCTTCAGGTTGTTGAGCCTCCAGCGCATGCAGCTGCAGCTCCGACACCTGCGCCACATGTATATGCAGCTCCGACACCTGTACCTTACTCACCTGCGCCTCCATATGCGACTCCATACTCGACTCCATATCCGGCTCCATACTCTGCCCAAATCCCGGGAGAGAAACCCCCAGTGACGGCTGCCAACGTAGATCCTCCACCTAAGAAAATCTGTGGGTTGCGGAAGACAACATTTTGGCTCACATTCGGCTTGGCGATCTTAGCATTGGTAGTTATTGCTGGTGGAGTGACAGCCGCTGTTTTGGTTATCAAGCACAAATCTAATAATGTTAACTCCTCTGCCAGGTGCGCTTTATCCTTCCTGGAACCCCTTTCTACAACCGTGTACTGACCCGAACCATTAGCACGACCTCGGGGCAGGCTAACTCGGCAAGCTACTCTTCCCCGACTGCAACAACAAATCCCACAACTTCGTCGACTATAAAGCCTAACTCGGCGTCAACACCTGTGTCTGTGTCGACTGTTCTACAGACTGTTACGGCAGTTAGCGGATCTGCCACAGCAACAGGCCCAGGTGCCAACCCTACGGGCACCTCTAGTTCCGCAACGACAAGTATCGGCCCCGGTGGGGTTCAAATATCATGCCCTGGTACAGATAACACGAATTACGTGGTTCCAAATACATCCCAAAAGTTCGTCCGCCGCTGCAATACCGATCTCGCGGGATCAGACTTCTCTCGGTCAAATGCCAATAATATGGCAGAATGCCTTGCTCTCTGTGCGAAGCAGAATGAGGATCCAAATGCTGTGACGAAGTGTTATGCTGTAACATGGGTTTATAGGGGACCGCAGGGAACGTCAGTTAATTATTGTTGGTTGAAGAATAAACTTCCTGGGTCGAGTTTTGCAGACGGCATGGAAAGTGCTTATTTAGTGACTTAATCATTTATGATTAGATCCTCGTCATTTCAAGGACGTTTCTATGTAGATATAATTATAAATAGAATGAACATAATATTTTAATTATCGTAGATATTCCAAACTCTGGAGGGTCTTTTCCTGTAGGTTGCAGCTGAAATTCAGAGAGGCCATTACTTCCCGACTTCTTGTGAGTACTTATCTATGTTTATTTCTATTTGCCACAATCAGCCTGTTCTGCAAGTATCATGCTAGGGTCTACTTATATTTCCGGACTTATCATTTATTCTGTTCAAACAAAAGTGCTCAGTTTTATTAGCTATCCCTAAAAACACCAGATATGGAACAGTTACTTAAGCAACCTGAAGGCCCTTGTCATTCTCAAATTGCTACTAAGCCGTACTTACTAGTATCAAACAGTCTTATGCATAAAAACTGTCTAGCTAACTGACAGCTGGATTGATTGATGTTTATACATATAGTTTGGAATCAAACAGCTGTAACACAGAAGGGTTTTATAATAATACAGGATACCTTTTAACTTACCTTGATCATCAAGAAGATTTTACGCGAGATAATTGGATGACTTCATCATATAGCACTCTAATTTAGAGCATATCTTAGTAAGCTACTGAAATTTTGCTACAAAGTCACACACAACTTTTAAATTATGAAACTCGTGAAACCAGCCTCGAAAGCAGTATCCGACGAGAATTGGGATTTGATCTCTGACAAAAACATACTGCTACACTAAATAACCTTTTCTTGAGTCTAAAAATTAGATCTACTATTGGGAAAAGCAATTTTGGCTCGACAAACTATTAATTTTTAACGACGTACTCACTCTAAGAATTCTATTCTTCGGCGCTTCTGCAGCGGAATCAGTTGCAGCAGGCAGAATAGATAAACAGTTCAGGTCCTGGAGTAGCAAGTCCCTAATGCCACAATTGCTCTGCCCTGACTCCGAGTTTGATTCCCCGAGGTCCTTTTATACTAGAGATAGATTTGACATACGGGTGAATAGATACCGTGCTATTGACGCTCGTTGTTACCCAGGGAGGCATCAACAATATTGTATATCGGGCCTTGTTTCAATCATACTTTCTGGGAGTATGACAATGCTAGTCTCTATCAACTGGCTGAGTATGCTGAAGTCTTCATGAAATGTGATTATTTCAGATGGAGGGAATTCACCTGTCAACTCAGAGTATTCTAGAAACTAATGCATCACAAAGTCCTTAAGAGACTCCCTGCAAAAAATACCTTAATTTGTAAGACCAGAGATACTCGAGTGATCTATAAACAATCGAAGCATTTCTCAGAATACTATTGAACGTTGGTTGGGAGTAGAAATGACTCAAAGACCAGGATGCTTTTGTGTCGTCTGATTCATAGGTATCGATCGAGAGAGCGCTATACTTGGGCCTTAAAGGTGCAAATTAAGGAGCCAAATAAAATTGATTCCTTGAGAATGAATCCTGAAATGTGCCAAGATTTGAAATGAGGGGTGTGCGTTACCCCGCCTCCTTTTTTACGCGAGGAACCATTATTTGATAGGTTCTCTACACCATAGTGATTATTAAGAGCTTCTTAATAATGAAGCCTCATGTCGAAACTGAGAAGAGGTGGAGCGGCAGAAGATGTTGAATACTGTAGGCGGAGATGCCTAGTAAAGAGCATTGACATAGTACAAAAATTCTTCCAAGCCTAGTAACCTGCCGAAATCGGGACGCAAGCGAAGCCGAAGCCGATTGTATTGTCTTTCAACACTCTGCCGAAGACATGAAACCCGAAAAATGTGATTCAGAATAATGCCATTCCTCTTTGCACCCCACACTATACCAACACTTGTATAAAATGCAAAAATGAAAGCCTCCTATCAGGATCGAACTAATGACCTAGAGATAGTTGTATAAACTGCAATCTCTCGCTCTCTGCTTGATTGTTAGACATGATTTCTTTAGCTAATAGTTGGCTGGGGATGCTTACACCACTGAGCTAAAGAGGCTGATTTGTGGAGAAAAGTTGCTTATTTTGATTTATAAATGGTTAGTGCGCTCGGCTAAAGGGTGGAGGAATGTATGTGGGGCGGCCGGAATATTTATGCCCAGAAATCGTTGTACAGATGTTGACAAAAGCAAACCTCAATAATAGAGGTCAAGGATGTGGAAGAAAGCAAGGAACTAGGCTATTTTCAAGGGAAGCACCACAACGGGTCTTGCGGACATCATCTCACAGCTTCGTGGGATATCAAGATTGGGTCACCGTATATGCTAAGAATTTGTGCTTCCAGCAAGCACTACTGCCTTCGGTGAGGGTATTCCCAACTCGAGCATCATGACCTAGATAGTTTCGGGCACTTTTGATGACTTCGGGTCATATAACGACTTGCTATGACTCGATATTCACCTGTCGGTTCTCTCTCTTCTCGAATTAAGGGATTGGCCTATCTGAGAACCAATAAGAATTTCGACGAGATATTTGTATTGAGCTGGCTACATCCCCTTCTTTCTTCTAGCTTCTCCTCGCCGAGTAGGAACCAAACCCTCCCACGTGACTCGCTAAAGCTTCTAAAACAATCTTGAAGTTATGGTACAAGACTTTACATTTCAAGCACATCTTATTTTTCAGCTAATACATATTTATTCTTCTCATGTACATTTTCTACAGACGCAAATTTAAGTTTCTAACTCCTCAATCTCGTGATCTTGTGCCCCAGGTTTCGAAGGGCGACCAATCACCCTGCCCTTGACCCTATCGGCTGTTGCTCCGCCCACTTCGCTAGGGTAGGTATTTGGCGTTCTTGCAGGCATCAACAGTGACGCATGTTTGCAAGCAAGAGTGACGAATAATAATCACGAATTCCTTCGTTTTGAGCCATGCAATGCACTATCACACCAATCCAAGTATCTTCCTAGAATCTCTCTCACAATCCCTATCCAGCTCACTGTATCACGTGTCTCCGCGCCAAGCCCACCAGGCAGGGCAGCTATGCGCCAGCGCGCAGAGTATATATCTCAGGCTTCGCGCCTCTTCTCTCTTGTTCTTCCTCACCACACCTCGGGTCGCAAAACATCACGATAAGCTCTAGTCTTTCTTTTGAAATCTAGGGATATCTGCCAGGGCCCAGTCAATCTTTTTGTGCGTCAGTTTTCTAGATCTCCACACTCTTTTCGTCACTCGTTCAACATACCCCTCCAATCCCCCAGCCTCACCGAATCAACACTACAAATTACCACCACCGCAGCCATGTTCAAGCGCTCTTTCCGAACGAACGACCGCGTCGAGAAGGCTGTGAAGTTGAAGAAGTCACTGAGGGATCCCGCGAAGTTGGCGAAATTGCAGAAGTCGTTCGATCAGAGCCCGCAAGTCGGGAGGTATGCTGCCTGATCGTCGCAAACTGAATTGACATGGACTGACGTGTACGCTGGTAGTTCTCTGACCTCACAGATTGTGACTTTCACAGTCGGCAGGGAAGGACGGCTTTTTGCGGCGCACGAAGATGTCCTGAGCTTGTCGCCGTACTTCACGGCGGCATGCAGAGGGAAATTTCTTGAGGCGCAGAGTAAGAGGATCGATCTCCCAGACGAAGAACCCGAAATCTTTTCGTGTGTTCTCGAATACTTATACGTGCGTACATATGCTCAACACCAAAGTGGACATCTTCTAATATCATGCAGAAGGGCGACTACTACCCCCGCTTGATGCACAACAAGCGCAGAAGCTCTTGGGAACTCGAGGATGCCGAAAATTCCCCAAACCCAGAAAACCCAGGTGGCCGCGGATCTGTCGAGGCTACAACTTATATCTCTAGCGTGGGAGAACACCTTTTAAAGGACACTGTCATATATTGTGCGGCCGAGAAGTACGGCTTGGAGGAGCTCAAACGCCTTGCTCTTCGGAAACAAGGTCTGCAGAGCGGAATCGAAGTCGCTACCATCCTTCGTAGCGCACGGTATGCGTATGACAACACGCCGGACTCGGACTCCCGGCTACGCGCTCATTATCTTGCTTTGATTATTAGATGCCGCAAGACATTTAAGAGGAGCGGAACCATGCAGACAGAAATGGAGAATGGCGGTAAACTTTTCTTTGACCTTTTCGTAGCTCTTTGCAACCATGTCGATGATATTGTGGATATGGGGTACGTCCAGGCTCTTCAATCTTGATTCCATATTGTATACTGACTTCCCCAGCAACTCCCGTTCTCCCAAGACCATCTAAAGTTGTATAACTGCGTCAGGTACTCAGCCCGGAGTTAAATTGTTTTGAGGCCGAGAACGATCTCCATCAGATTGGACCATTTATGGAATTTGCACCCACACAAATTTCACTTCACTCACGAGGTTGGCCGCCTTCCGATGAAATCGACACATCACCCTCTACTCTTTTCTAATACCCCCCGCTTTGCTGTTTTGGATACGAAATATAACGGAAGGAAATCGCGTTTGCTTTGTCTTTGTATCTCTCACCACTTAAAGCTTATCTTGAGGATAGGTAAAGTGGAAGGGACGGACGCCGTAGGTTGGACGACCTCTTCGTTCACAACTCTTCTCCTTGGTTTTCTGTTGGGATGCATGGGGATGCTGTAGCTGTAGTTGTGTTCATGATCTTGATGGTTGTGGATGGATGGTCCCTAGTGGATGCATCAGATGAGGCCCTCACAGGGTATGATAATGAGAGATTCGGCCACCTCAAAACTTGATCCTTTTTCTCGTAAAATTGAATAGGTAAGTTGGTTTCTGACTTGATGAGACTTCTCTACTACAAACCTCCTCCACATCTCATACTAGGAAAGTATATAGCCAGGGACAAAGCCACGAAAAATAGAATGCGAATGCGACGAGAGATACTGGTAGGAGTATACGTGGCCTGCCAGTACCTACATTGTTAGGGTACCACACGGTCTTCTCTAATGCTAATATTCCCTGATAATATTCATCTTGAAATTTCGCAAAGACATCGCCTGACAGCCCCCGTTAAAATCTATCTCAAGGAGAGCAACAGAGAATTGGTAAGGCAGCACTTTCCCACTCGCTTCTTTCCTTCCCCCGTTGTCTAAATTCTGAACACATCAAGAGTTTTGCTGCGAATCTTGCAAGCAAGGTGCTGAGAATCAAATGCTCCACTCCTCCTTATCCCTTTCTATAACTACCCCCACAAGCACCACCTAGCTACCGGTATATTCCCAGTAACTGACAGGGAGATAACGAACCATTATGGGCTCTGGGCCTAATTTTCATTGTTATATTCTACTACTTAGTCTCCAATGCTCTGTTGGGTTCAGAGATAAAAGTGTTTTTTGAGTATTTAAATCATCCCGTGGTTTGTTGAGAGAATGGCAGTGATGTCAAGATCCTTGCTATCAAGTGCTTCTCCTGAAGCTCGGGAGATGCCAATGTGGCGGGGCATTGTAGCACGAAAGTCTTTTACTCTTTAGCTGTGGATCAGATGTAGAGCTGCGCAGCCTTATTGCTCAAGATGGCTATCCTACTTGTACAAAATGGCGCGCCTTGAATCTGGGGGGCAAGATGAAGGCAAAAAAATCTCCAACATCCTTTCTCCCATCATCCAACATCCGGAGTTGCATACTCGAAGCTATAATGTCTAAGAGAAGAGGGCAGGGGGATGTTTAAGAGTTCCCACCAAGAGCACTTTCAAGAGGAGATAGAAACTAGAGTTCTCAAATGTTGACCGCGTGTAAGGGATCTCGAAAAGAGTCAAAGTCGAGGGTGTGGAAGTTAAACCACGTGATACAAACTAGGTGATAGATTATGGTGTAGCAAGCATAGAAGCCTTCCTAGACGGAAGCAATTCCGGACATTAAGCATACTATCTAGCGTACCACCTCTCCGAATCTCCTCTTCCCAAAATCATAAAAATAGTAGAGCTATATGGCGCAGAAGTTGGCACAACCCTCTGCTCTATCTCAGAAGCCTAATCAATGCAAGACAGGCACAAAAATGCATACCATCCTGTAGCTGGATCTCTCGGCGAGCGTTTCAGCAACTTTGAGAGAATAGTATGAACTCTGTTCTGGCATCGTGCGTATTATTTCGAAGATAGAGGAGGGAATTCAATCTCTATGGTTATTGGTGATATAGCAAGATTTATAGTGCCTAGCAGTGGTCAAAGTAGCTCTTCCTTCCTTCTCCCTCTCCCTACCTAACAATTCCAAGGCACATATATGTTTCGGCGTCGAATGCGCAACACTCCTCGCTAACGCCTTGCTCAACAACCAATATTCTTCCTCAGTTTCATAACTTATATTCGATTGCGGTAAAGCGTTAGAAGAATGTGCAAAATAGAAGATGTTGAGGAGCAAGAGAATCGTGAATCAGAGTTACTGGATAGGAATTATGGGTTTGGGAGAGGGGTTTTAGTAGGATGGTGGGATTTAAGAACGGCGTGTTCTGAGGGGTGGGGATCCTAAAGCGTCGGTTTTTGATTGGTTTTGGGAGTTTAGTGGCATGAATATCTGGATAATAGAGAAGGAGAGGCGAAAGATCCCATAGAGGTGACTTTACCATGTGAGGATTAAGGTTGAGTTGGTGGAGAGCCGAGAAACTTCTTGAATAATTGTAAAAGTTTTTGAACAGGGTGTGTGCAATTTATTATACTTCCTAATAAGACTTGGGGATCTGTAATTTTTATTGATATTAATCTCCGGAATATAAAAAAGGGATTCACTTGAGGGTGAACTATTATCTATAGTTATTCAAGCTCGATACCTATCCATTTTAATCGCCTCAAGTTATTCTGGCCTTACGTAATGATATTTTTATACCAAGTAACATCATTATGACAACTGTGATCTTATCCAGTCTATTAGTGAAAATGGTGTTAACATCATGTATATGAGAGTGGAAATAACATTTTACCTGAAATTTCCTCTGTACAGATCGCCAAAAACGCCATAATACCTCCCAGAAATATCGACCAGTCTACATGTCAAGGTGATCTCGTCCGTCCTAAAATCAAGCTCCCTTTCTCACTAATACTCGTAGA